TGATCTTCGAAAAGCGATTCTAGAGGATTTCATTAAAAATCCTAAAATATTTAAAGGTGGTAAAGATAATGTAAATAAATGGATCGAGGATATCGAACACATGTTAGATATCGCACATGTTCCCGATCCTAGTCGATTAGATTTAATCTCCTATTCTTTACGTGGTGATGCTCTTCAATGGTACAAAAATAATAAAACTTTATTTACTTCGTGGTCAACTTTTATATATGAAATTAAACGAACATTCACTTCCTCGTTTCATGAAGAATTAGCATTCAAAAAATTAGAATCCTATACCCAAGGGGAAAACCAATCAATTCGAAATTTCTTCAATGAAGTGTTAAACTTATGTAAAGAAGCTGATCCTACTATGAGCGAAACAACCAAGTTAAAAAATCTTCTCAATAAAACCAAATCAACAATCCAATTCGAAGTTCGAAAGAAAAAGCCTACTACTACTGCTGAATTTCTTGAATACACTAAAGATGTAGAAGAATTATTTCAATTATCAAACATTAACATCGATAATAACAATAACATTTCTTCGATCCCTAAGGGAAAACAAGCATCTTCATTAACTAATGTATCTACATCAGGTACTACATATTACAATAATTCGTATTCAAACAAATATACACCTGAATATTCAAACAAGCTTCATAACAACAATAATAACACTTTTACTAATAGAACTAATCGAAATAATCCACAATCATCAACATTTACTTCATCATTTTCCCGTTCACCTCAATCGTCAACAAATCAATCAAGAATTACGACTCAACAATATCCATCAAATAAATATAATTCTTTATTCAATAATACTAGTACCCAGGCAGACAAAAAAATGAAAAAACGCGTTTAAACGCGCAGAGTTTTTCGACCGTGTCTGGCTGCCAATCGAGGTTCCCGACTGTATGTCAGTAACGACCAGTATAGGTGGACGTGAAAACGGTCATTTTTTCACGCTAAATGAAATTTACATATGTTCATTGCGCTAATGTACAACCGTTTTCACGTTTACTATTCCCTATCATTTCTGACTCACAATCGGGAACCGCGATTGACAACCGATCACGATCAGTAAAAGTGGACGT